AAGACGATGGAAGAAAAACACCATCATAAAGAGCTCTGTATTTTTTATTATACATTCACATTAAACATTTAACAATAAAGGGTAATAATAAAACATTAACTAACATAAAAAAAGAACTTGAAAGTTTTACTCAAATGAGTAGGAAAAGGGGAACCATGATGGTTCGCAGAGCTCGTCTTGCGTCATCTCCAATTAAGTCAGAGTGAAGACTATTGTTATTGCTTTTGCAGATAGAGGGGTAGTGCCATCTGGTGCTACGAATTAACTATCCGCTACACTATGAATATTGTTAAATACATACCAAAGTAAAACATCATACAGGAAAGTAATTTTCACCACACTCTAGAAATTATGGCAAACAATAATAATAAGAACAATTAATAATATCAAAGTTACAGACGCTAATAAAAGCATGCATTGAGAAAGAAAATATTATAAAATTCTTAAAAATAAATAAATAACAAAACTGTATTTAAACCTATAACTTTCCCAGCTTCAGCCTGATGCAAAAATCACACGCAATATAAAATTAATTATTATTATATTTATATATAATAAAATCAATGATGAAAAATTTCAAACATTAATAAAAGCATGCACTGAAAAAGAAAATATTATAAAAGTAATTCTTAAAAGAAAAGAAAAAGCAGTAGGTATAAATCTCTGTAAAAAGTTTCCAAGAAAATGTTTTGTTTATAAATCACATACACAAGCAATTCCAGACATAAACACGTATATCTTATAAATTATAATTTAACATACAGAGTTTATCCCAATATATAAAGGTTAACATAAAAGTTAATATAACATTATAGAATAATAAAGTATTATAAATATAGAATATCATATTAAATATCCACATGCAAAGGGGAAATAAAAAAATTTATATGTTTTCAAACATTATAAAGAAATAAACTTGAAAAGTAATTAATTTCCCAGTTTATTTAAAAAGTAAACATATAAAAAGCATATCATACTATAAAAGTAAACTTTATTTTTAAAACTGTTCGTTGAAAATTCAAATTTCAGCATTCCTTATGAATTTTTTTTCAATTTTATGTAACAATTTCTTTACAGTTCTATCCCAATGAACTGGAAACGAAATTTTTTTTTTTATATGAGCCTTAAAATATTTTTGAAAAATAATAACTTTTTTTTCCTTTTCAAAAATCAATGCTTGAAATTAAGAGGCACATATATGTCAAATTAATGAAGAAATCAAAAATCAAAGTTATACTTCAAAATTCTACAATAGATGCCCTACACTTAATTGTTAAATCAAAGCAATTCTGCAGCAACCAATGGGTGGTGGAGGCAAGCTTTTAACCATCAATCAGCAACTGTGTGTGGGTCTGTCACCGTCCTTCATAATTATACCTCAGTTTGTTGGATAACTCGGCCATTGCTGTAAATTTCAGATAATAAAAATTAAGACTAATGGATTTTATCATGAAGCTTAAAAAAAATTATTATCTTTCATCAAAAACATTATCTTAATGAATTTGTACAAATTGAAACTAATTGTAAAAATATTCTGTGAAAGATTAGATAAAATATATATTCATTTTACATGTTAACTTTTAAAACTGTAAAGCTGATCACAAAAATGATAATAAATTGAAATGGAGAATAAAAAACAGTTAACTATGCTGTATTAAACAAGATAGTCCCCAAAACAACTTGACAACATTTAGAACACACTTGGTTTGTGATGAAATTTAATGCATAATAATCTGAATTGGCCATACTGAGTCAAACTTAATCACTATTACATACTCAAAAATAGGGAAAAATCACAATGTTATATCAAATAACTTGACTAAAATTCAATTAAACTTATTTGTTGATGTAAAATAAGTTTTTTAATGAAATATTTAAATAAAAATAAAGTTTAAAGGTCTCACTTTTCAAACTTTAAAAGTCATACGATTTAGAGGCGTAATTCACACAAAGGCAGAATGTAGTTTTTGAATTGATTCAGCATCTAATTATTGCTTTTGATTGAGCATCAAACTCAAGTTAAAATCTTACATTATTGCATACATTAAATAACAAAGTTAAACAGTTCTAGAAACTATGTCTGACAAAAACATAGGGGAAAAGAACTTGGACATTTAAAAAACTGTATTTATCTTAACATAATAAAACCCTTGATAGAGTTGATTTCAAAATAAAAATATCTAATTGTTTCTTAACTAACATTTAATAGATATTTGAATGATTCTAAAAATAATGCAGATTAATCCCAAATACTTCTAACAGAACTTTAATTTTAGGTACCTAAATTATTTTAAAATGATTTAGTTTCATTAATTAGTAAAGAAGGTTTGTAAGAAGATATAAGGCTAGTATAAATATTTTTAACATAATATTATAGATAAAATTTTGTTCTGCATCACTTTGTGATTAAATGATAATGTTATACAATAGTAACAAATTTGTAACTGTTAGTTAGAAAATGCATTATGATAAAATAATGCAAAAAAGTAGATAAAAATCATATTTACAGTTAATAAAATTTAAAACAATTTAATTTATTATCATAGAAATCAATTTAAGTTGTGATATATTTTCATTCAACTTAAACTAGATTTTAAAAAAATACAATACAATAATGAAAATTTTTAACATTGCTGATCATAAAGGCACACACACACACATATATATATATATAACAATAAGTAAATACTACAAATAGCGACTGTAAAGAATGTTAGACATGATTAAGGTCATAACTCTATTTCAATATAGTCAGTAAATAAAATAATTTTTTAAAAAAAGAGCTTATTCATTCACACAATATTTTATTGAAATTAAAACTTAGATATAATGACATAATTTTAAAAGCTTCGTGTATTTGCTGACAAATAAGCAAATACAATTTTGTGAGAGGAGTTACTTAAATGCCCCTTTTAGTTTAAAAATAAAAATAGATTTTAACGAAATAAAATATTAATACTTAGTAAATAAAACTAAAATTATAAGTATTACATTTTCTCTATATTTGTAACATTTTTTGAACTACAGAATTTATATTTTTAGGCTACATTATAGAGGCCTTTTAAGAGACTTTTTAAAGCTATTTTTCAATTTTTTAAGGCCAACTGAAATCAAGACATTATACAAAATTCAGTTAGAAGAGTTGCACATTGTTTAAACTTAGATTCAATAATTTTATATGTACTCAATATTTAATTAAAGATCCAGTTCTGATAAGTTAACACAAGGAATTTAAGTAATATGAAGGAAAAAGAGATTTGAGGTTTGAAATTTTATTAAATGAAAAATTTTGTTTTTATAATTATGTAATTTGTATGTAGGAAGGGTCATATATTAATGTTTTTTAACTTATAGACCATATAACAAAGAATTAATTTATTGTAAGAATGTAAAAGCACATGAATTTCTTAATTATATTTTAATGATATGAAAAAATGGATTTTCTCATTCACACCCTTTTAAAGCGTTTCAATTGGTGTCTTTTGCTTTTATTTAGTCTCTATTCTTGATAAAAAAGTTTTAATTTTTTTCTTCTTTCAATTGCATATTTAAAAGGTATAACATTTCCTTCAGTAAAGTTTCACTTCCGTTTCCAACCTCCAAACTTAAAGTCAGATATTTAAAGTAAATTTCCAACTAAGCACTAAACATGTTAATTATTTTTTGTGAAAACTTTGGTTGTTAAATGATAAGTTTGCTAGAAATGTTTATTGCAGTTTTTAATGAATTTTTCACATTTGTATAAGTCATTAGAAAAGTGCTGTCCTTGTTTATTTTTTGCTATCGTCTGTTACAATTAATATTATCAGATTGAACATTAAAAACGCACTTATTAAACCACATAGGAATGAATGGTTGTATGATTCCTTATTCTTTCTGTACAAGTGAAACATTGCAAATTTTTGACTATAGATTCAAGAATTTTGAACCCAAATCAGCTTAAAAGTAAGAATACTAGTATTGCACATCACTACTGTTCCCATCTTGCCTTTATTTTATAATTTTTACATAATTTTTTTTATATTTTATCATTGATAAACCTTTTAATGGTATTTCTTGAAGGAAAAAAAAACAAAACATTATATGGTTCTAAAACATAACTATGTAAACTCAAAATATTATTTTTCCATGTCTAATAACTTAGATATTTGGCACTACTTTGCGACTAATTCTTTCTTTTAACGATAGGGATAAAACTGTGTTATTAGAGAATTACAAATTTATTATCATAAATTAATGATTTTTACTGAATTTTTCTCAAAATGAAAATAATTTTAAAGAAAAATAAACTTTGAGAAGCAATATTTAAAAAATTGAGTAAATTATTTATACACATTTTTAATCAAAACATTAAAATCAATGTATCAGAAATATCTGTAATTAGCATTTGTGACCAGTTTGGTTCTGATAAGGAACTTGTCATTTTTCTGTTCCTCACTACATGGTCGGGTGTTGTGGTAATATAATATTTCAAATATAATTCAATAATTTATAGAACAAAACTTCAAATAAACCTTTACTGGCCTTTATGGATTGTGTGCCCGGTCAGAACATTATGTCCAAGGCATACACAAATTTCAGTTATATCATTTTATTTCAATTAGTCAGTAATTTATAAACAAAAATTTCAAATAGACGCTAGTGGTCTTTATGTGCATCAAATTTTTTACTGTACCCAAAGCGCACATAACAGAGCTTGAATTCATAGAATATAGCAAAGAAGATGTTTGCAGCTTTCAAAATCCAATTTTTAAAAAAAATTGATTACTTGATTTTTTAAACAATTACAGCAAAAAGTATATAAATCGTAACATCTTTCAAGTAGATAACAAATCAAAGTAAAGATATTTATAATCAAATTTTAAGTTGAACACAATAACAATGAGCAAATTAATAAAAACAGCTAAATATAATTCCTTGTATAGCACTAACAATGAAATTAGATTTTACGATTTAAAATTAAAATTATTTTTAAAAGAAATAAATATATGTATTTTTTGTTGTTTAGTTATTGTAAAGTAAATTTTTTTAAGTAAATTTTTATGTTATTCTCAATTATTTTTTTTCTTTTGAGTAAAAGAACAATTGATTATATAATGTAAAGACTAACAGAATAAATAATATTGATTTTGCTTCATTAGAAAACTGTAAATGTAATTTAAAAGCCACTTTAAAGCACTAGTTTTTATATATGGTTTAAAAAATTCTTTGATGTAACTTTATTCTTGGATGTAACGGTCATAAAATAAGTTAATTGTCTTGATATGAAAATAGTTATTCTCTATTAATTACAAAATGTAAACCATTAGAAACTGACTATGTAGCTTTGTTATTGATTACAATAGTTGCTATCAACTTGGATAGAGAAAGAAGGAATTTAATGAAACAAAAGAGAAAGATCTATGCAGATTACATATGAATGTGCTCAGGTATTTGAATTGTTTTCCATATGCAATAACAGAACAGTGCATTTTCATGAGCAAACAATTCAATTTACGCCAAAGGAAACCCATAAAATTCTAATACCAATTTAATACCAATGTGATGAAGGTTACAACATGACATGCAATGGTATATGATAATCTCTGGTAGATAGGATTTATTATCCAGGAAATAATAATGAGAAACAATAAACTAGTTTTAATACTAGATCTGGTAGGAATGTTTTACCCTCATTAAGAGTTAGACAAACAAGAATTTCTTAAAAATAAAATTTTATGCAAAATTTGCTGCATGAACGTGGTGAACATTTCAAATTATATCTAGGACATGATATATGATACATTTGAAATAATGAATGTGATGCAAATGTTTTATTAAAAAAATTTAAATTGTCTTTAAAAATAAATTGTTTTATAGTGAAAGATAAATCTAATATTTAAGCTGCTTTTACTTTCATATGTCATTCTGGTACCATAACAGTTACTGCTCTTCCATTATCATTGGAGAGTAAAAAACTAAAAATTATGTTTGTTTATAGAACACAAATAATTAAAGTCTGTGTCAAGACACTGAAACAAATGCCCATTGAATGAGAGTATGGGGCCATGCGTCCAAGACATAAAAAAGAGATAAATTTAAGAGTGTAACAACTACAGAGTAACCACCTCTTTAAACAAAGCATTTTAAATCCTAACAAACATTTTAATGCAAAAGACTATTACCATACAGTGCAAAAGTCATCGAAATTATCAATGTGGATTAGAAAGAGAAAGATCAAGACCAGATCCACACAATCACATAAATCTGGGGAAAAAAGCAAAATTAATATTTATACATACCATATATTTTTTGACTTTAAGACAGCATATGATGGCATAGATAGAACAAAATTATATTAGGCAATACTCGATTTAGAAATACCCATGAAACTAGATAAATCTTACTAAAATGACACTTAATAGAGTTAAATGTAAAGCAAAACTAGGCAAAGTAAAACCTATACGAATATTTCTAAGAGTGAGATTCCATGTCATTGAAAAAGTTATTAAAGACTCAGTATAACAGTTTAAATGTTAGATTAATTTATTAAATATAGCAAACAAATGTTAATATGGATTAAGAAATCACTTGAAATTAAAACACTTAAGCATAAATTAAAGATTTAATTTTGTGTGGAAGCGCATTCTGGACCATGAACAAAACAAAGGAAAACATGTTCTAAGAGAAAAGAAAATATTTGGCACTTTCAAAAAAATAATGTCTGGAGTATAATAACCAAATATTGTGAAAACTAAAAAGGTATATCAATTAAGATGACTTGGATACACAGATACAATGATTTAAACCCAAAGAAAAAAATGGCAAACAGGTAAACGAAACATCAAGTGGCTTGATACACTTGAGAAAATGTCACATAAAATTGGGATCAACCATTGGAAAACTATAACAGTGGATCATTCCCAATGAAAGAAACTTAAGGAGAGAGTCTTGGCCTGTAACAGGCTGTAAAAATGCAGAAAAAGAAAGAACTATTAATTTTTTTAAAATTCCTATTTTTAAAATGTTAAAAAAGGTTAAAAATAATAAATGAATAAGATTATTAAGTAAGGTTAAGAATTGTCCTTAGAAAAAATAATTAAAGTGAAATATGCACATTTTTTCAACAGGTAAAATAAAATTTAGTTAATAAGTAATATGTTAATCAAAAAGAATCTCATTTAAAATTATACAGATATCAATGTTTAAAAGGGTCAACTAATAAACATTTCAGTATGGTCCAAATTTATTTTGAAATAATTTATCTAACAAATAATAAAAAATACTGAAGGGAACAATGAAATTTTTTTTCTGGTCTGAATTAAGAGAAAAACTAGTCATTTCATCAAAGATATTTAAAGAGTGTGTCGAAGTGTATTTCATGAAAATCAAAATTAATTTTAACACAATATTTTCAATTTGGAAAAAAAATCATAAATAATATTTATTGCTAATAAATGTGACACTTTCTCATGAATCAGTCATACTTTCAGTTTGAGAAACAAAAGATTACATGTAACAGTTTTTATAGTATTATCAGATTAAAAGAAATACAGGGTTATTCATAATTCCCTCCGGGGTTTTGAAGCGTTTTAGTAAAAAAAAGAAGACGAATATGAAAAAAAGAAACATATGAAATTATTCCGAAACTATTAAAGTTTTATTTACATACATTACAGGTGTTCTATGCGTGAACCCTTGGTCACATGGCATACATCAATGCGATAGTCCAGTTCCTGCCCAGAGGGAATTATGAATAACCCTGTACAAAGAAACTCCAAATGTAAGCTTCTTTTTCATTACAGACAGCATATTTCGCAGAAGAAAAAAAAATTACTTTTAACATAGCTGAAACAGCAGGTAAGCAAAAATGATGATGGAGCAGCAGCTGTGGGTTTGACTCCTTGTTTCCGTTGCTAAATGAAAAGAAAACAATTGAGGAGAATGACAAATACACAAAATTACTATTCTATTTCTGGTTATTGAGAAAACAACTACATAAAATTATGCATGGAGAAAATTTCTTAATAACAAAAAATGGTTACTTGGAAAGAAATTTTTTTTTTTATCAAAAGCAGTTATGTTAAAAGATTTTTAAATAACCTGTTGACACATTGTTCAACTATCTGTAGAAAAATGAACTAGTTCATTAATAGTAAAACCATGAAATTTAAACCTCTTTTACAAAAATTTCTGTTTTATATTTTTAATATTATATAGTAATAAGTAGGAAAACTTTTAAAACTTTCATGATTCAAGTAAAAGTGTAAAAACAATAAAAACCTATAATCAGGAACCTTAAAGTTGATTTGATTTCAGATTTTTTCACCTTAAACATTAATTACATAATAAAAAATATCAGTTAAGAAAATAGTTTTAATTAGACAGCATAGCTAAAAAGAATTAAGTTTTTCTTAAAATATAAAGTGAGATAGCAGATAAATGTTTTCAGAAATCTCGATTACTGAATTGTAGTTTATAAGAAAAATTTGAATTTTGTTTATTATGATTTGTTTTTATAAGCTAAAATTCAAATATATAAGAACCTCAATCGATCCTTTCTCGAGGAACTATTCTTCACAAACCACAGATGCAGGAAAACGACGACTCAGGGTTAATTTTTAATAATTTGGAAATGTATGAAAATTAATACAATTGTAATAAGTATAAAACATTTAACTAAAAAGTTATTCAAAATATTTACAGTGCAAAAAAGGGATAAATAAATGTATTAACTTCCTTAAAATATTTGGAAATTTTAGTTTTCTTTTTTCTTAGGACAAACAATAAATTTTTAACAGCTGTTACAGATTGTAGTTGATTTTCTGAAAGTTCCAGTGAATACAGAAAGCTCCTTATTGTTTTTAAGGTTTTGAGACCGCTGTAAATGTTTGCTTTAATTGGTTGCATTAAGTTCAGTCTTCATTGGAATTATATTGCACTTATTCCACTTTTACAACTACTTCTTTAACCGACTACATCACAATGTTTTTTATCAATTGATGCATAAACATCAAATCTGTTGCTTCAGGTGTTTTACCCAAATTGTAATAAATCCACACTTTTTTTCACTATTAGCATTAGGATTCAGAATATATTGTTCGGCTTCTCAAAACAAATTAATTTCAATATTTTTATCAAATGTTGGTAAAAATTCTTAACAAGGAAAAAAGTAAGGAGCATAAATATATCTTGATCAGAGTAAATTCTTTTTAGTGAAATATCATCTTTACTGAATATCATCTTAAAGTAAAAATAAACAGAAATTAAGAGAATTGCAAGCCATATTATTTCAAAAAATAAAAATACCTTATTTTAAGAGGTCTTGACACTGACTTAGATTATTATTGAGTAAGCGTACATAACTCAACAAATCTACTCATTATTACTTCTTCAAGATAATGATTTGTGTTAGCCTTTATTTAAATGTTACAAATTAAATTTTAAGTAAATTTTTCTTAATTCAAATTTAATTTTAATGTTACAAAAAATTAGACAAGAATCAAAACTTTCTTCTTTACACAGATTTAATATTGCCAATATGCTTTTAAACATTTAACAGTTAAAACATAATTCTTTGCATAGATTCTGTATTGTAATGTATGAATGAAAGTCTACAAATTTGCTTGCAGTTTATGATCACAGAAAAATAGTAAAAATCTAAGTTGCCGTTTTAAAATATAATAACTTTAAATACACTTTCCATTCATTATGTGGAATAAATAAGTACACCTATGTGTCTCAAATTGTTACTATACATTTTTGCATATCTTGAAAGTTTTACTTGTCAGAAAGTATCATCAATAGTTATTTCATTGGACTATAAAAAGAAAAATTTAAAGTATGGAAATAATTAGCAATTCAAAATTATCACAAAAATTAAAAACCATGTAAGCAATAAAAATTTAAAATGACAGCTTTTTCCATGTTCAAAAAAATACTAGTGTACATAAAAATAAGGATTGCAAGCCGAAAATAAAATATTGCAAAATTTTTATCAAATATGTAACATCTAATCTATCATTTTTACTAATTAAAGTCCTGTATAAAATAAAATGATCCAAAAATAATGAACGATGAATACCAAAATGAGAATCACATAGTTTCATACAAGTTATAATTGACAAATTAAAGCAATGTTATTTTTTATTTTATTTTTAATAACATGCTGCATTTTTTATTACTGCAAATATTTAAAATTTTTACAAAATTAGTTGGCAAGTAAAAATTGATTACATATGATTTACTTTTTACCTCTAACATTCTCAATCAATGTAACTTTTTATCTGACCAACTAATGAGAAAAATTTGTTCAAAACTTTTGCTTTAGGGCAATTCCATATGTGACGGAATGACATTTTTACTTGCATGATGACAATTAATTGAAGTTTCTATGCATCTAATTTCAAATAAACATGATTTTTTCTCATGCATATCATTATTATTGGTATAATGTGATTCATAAACTAAAAAAAAAGAATTTTGTATTTTTTTTATTTTTAATTTTATGAACTTTTTACTTGTGTGACGGAATGACATTTTGGCAACCAAGCTTTCGGCATGCCGCTTAGAACTGGTAGTTTCTGTGAATTTTGCAACTATTATTTTCCTGAACTATTTTTTACTTTTAGTATAATGTGTAAGCAATGTAAATTGTGAATTTGGAAAATTAACCTCAGGTTGGTTAGCAGTTATTAACATCTATTTGCTGTGACGGAATGACCGTGACGGAATGACAAAAAGTTTAGTGGAAGAAAGTC